TGGGGGCCCTTGCATCTCTCTGGAGTAGTGAATTCATTTTCCACTTCTCCATTTCACCATTAATTACGGATACCTTAAGGGCATCTTTTAGCCTAGTTTTAAGTCTTTCAATAAAGATCTATATGTATTATTAGCATTTAAATGCACTATCATCTATTCTACATAACTTGATCTATCCATGACTACCACTGCTCCAACTTTGTCAGCTTTCGTTATTATCAGATTATAACTACGCAAATATTTAGAAATCTTTCTAATATAATAATCCTTCTTAGGTGGTATTATATGGTCAAAATGAGGGATCACCTCCAGTTCAATACTATTTCATACGAAATGAAGGTCCCTCATACGTAAGTGTGTTTTTGAGTACGTCGTAAGGACGAAAATGTGACCCACATAAAGCAAAAAGGACGATTTGAAGATAAAAATAAATAAAGTAAATAATATTTAAAGACACTATACTTATTTAAGGTAATACATACTCATACACTTCATGACACCTCCCTACACTGGCAGGAGTGTTTCGAGATCATATGATATAAAAATATGTATGTTGCTCATAGATAACCAAATTGATATTTTACTATTTAACCCGTAAAAACATAAAGTAATATTTTATTTACAATTTTTATAAACAATTTTGTTTTAAATAATTTTACTTGTTATTGTGCTCTTGCCGCTATTTGTCATTTCTCGAAGACAAATATGAACAGACCTCCCCACCATGGACGTCAGCAGAAGGCTATGGTTCAGCCTGTTGTATGTCTTAATATATTTATTTACTTTTTTTGAATTTAGGCTATTATGTATAAATTTTTGCAGACGGTAAGTGGTGAAATTATATTGTCCTTTTTTATTCATATATCTGACATCATCTACTTCAGGGTACACGAGTTCAGGTGTGGCTATATGAACAAGTAAACCTTAGGATTGAAGGCAGGATCATTGTAAGTTATCTTTCATTCATGGCTAGGGATTTGATGAATATATGAATCTAGTCCTTGCTGAAGCATGTGAAAGGCATATGAAATCAAATGCGGTTAAACCTATAGGTAAATTCTTTTGTTTGATTGTATGCATTTTAGGACGTATTTTGCTTAAAGGTGAAACTATTACTCTGGTCCAACCCTTGCAATAAATTACCATTCACATTAATTTTAATAAATATATTTCATCATCCTTTGCTGTTTTTGTAAATATCATGTTTTTAATTGGTATCGCCTGGCATGAAAACGAATTTGCTTCACAATTGGGATTCTCAATTATATTTTGTCATTTTTATTATTTGCTATTGTGCTTTA